TATAAGAACAGCGCATACGTTTAAAGAGATGACATACGATTATACAAGGCATATACGTTGTATACATATATATATATATATATATATATATACACCTTATTTTCCAAAGGTGATAAGTTAATTGTGTAGGACGAGTGCATCGTGCAATCGTATATGTATAAACATTTGGTGAAAATGAGTCCGCTGTTCTTATATATACATAAATATTGTTTTTCCCCTCCACCAGGTTCTCCGGGCCGTTGAGAAATTTCACGGTCACCGTTGCGCTGACCATCACGATAGTCGGCATTTCCGGGAATCTCCTGACAATCATTGCCCTGCTCAAGTACCCCAAAGTGCGCAACGTCGCGGCTGCATTTATCATAAGGTAAAAGAACAACAACAACAACAACCGCGTGACTAATCGATGAGAAAAAATAAAAAAAAAAACAAACGTTGCTCACCCACAGCTTGTGCGTCTCGGATTTTATTTTCTGCCTGCTGGTGCTGCCGTTCGACTCTATTAGATTTTACGACGCGAGCTGGACGAAAAACCGCTTCTTATGCGTACTCGTGCCATTTCTGCGCTACGGCAACGTCGGCGTGAGCCTACTCCTCGTGGGCCTGCTCTCGATACACCGGTACGTCATGATTGCCCACCACGGGATTTTCAGCCGCGTTTACAAGAGACACTGGATCGCGGCGATGATCCTCTTTTGCTGGGTATTCTCGTACGGCATGCAAGTCCCGACTCTCATGAACCTATGGGGTAAATTCTTATTCCCAATATCCTATATATGGGGGTTGTACAGTTTCGGGGGAGTACAACACCTGTGTATGTATACATTGACGACTGTTTGCAGGAAAATTTGCTTACGACGAGAAACTCGGTACCTGTTCCATCGTCAAGGACGATTTTGGCCGGTCGCCCAAGGCGTTTCTCTTCATCATGGGCTTCGTCATCCCGTGCATGGTCATCGTCGGCTGCTACGCTAAAATCTTCTGGGTCGTTCACAAGTGAGTATAACGCGTGAGTCACCTATGTCAATCGCATCCCGAGGTTCAATTGTTGTTGTCGTTGTTGTTCCCGCGCGCAGATCGGAATCCAGAATGCGGATGCACGCGGCAACGCCGAGCGGCAAGTCGCCTCACGCGTTGAGTAAAGACGCTCGCGAGACGAAGCAGCGACGGAGCGAGTGGAGGATCACCAAGATGGTCCTAGCCATCTTTCTCGGCTTCATCGTTTGCTACCTGCCCATTACCATTGTCAAGGTCTACGACACGGAAGTCGAGTATCCTGGTAATTATGCCTTTTTTTTTCTTCTTTTTTTTTTTTCTTTTTTTTCCTCGTACAGTCGTTCGGCCGTTTTATTCTCCGAATCGTGCTCAGTTGAATCGAACGTGACATCTTTTTTTTATTTTTTCCACGTGATTGCGAGTACGTTATACTCGCTCGGTGTTGCACCTAAGTGCAGACGGTCACATTGCAGGAAGTTTGCGGCAATTAAACGTGCACTTGATGCAATCAATCCAAGACGACGTATACTTATTGGGTGACTCGCTCATCTAGACCTTGAAATGGTCAATTTTTTTTGCACAATTTCAGCATTTGATTGGTATAGTAACTTGAACTTGAAAGGGATGACTATAAATTTATTTTCGTTTTGTTTACTTTTATTGTTTTAATTTTTGCACAAAGCAAAAAAAAAATAAATGAATCCCAATAACAAAAAAATTGACTTTGTTAGCGCTATGCTCGGCAAGTACTCTTGAAATGAATGACGTGGAGAATGAGCTGCAAGTACGAATCGGTAGATTGAGTTCACGGCTTTTTATAGAATCACTTTGCAGATCATAGTCATGCGACTCCGGTTTCTTTCAATTTATCGCGTATTACTGTACGCGTAGGTTAAACGAATAGTAATCACTATTTAAGCATCATTTGCATCATAGTTACATACGTACGAAATATCATTTTTTTTTACCAGAGGATTGGGAGAATAATCGAAAGTATAACCAAAGTCAAATATAAAACCAGTGTCTAGTTGTAAAAAGTCCGTCTGTTACATATATCACAATCGAAAAAAAAAATAATACAAAGTACGTGCAAGTAACATTTTGAAACTTTGAAAGTCAACTATGCAAAATGATTTTTATTTATTAATAATTCAAAACAACTTTTGTCGTTTAATAGAACATTTGGATGAGATTGTAGAGAACAATTCGTTAATACATTCATGACAAACCTTAACTTTCAAAGTTCCAACGAAAAAAAAAAACTTTCTTTTTCTTATCATACAGTCTAGTAGTGAAACTTTTGGGAAATTTTTTCCCTTGTAAGCCTTTCGGAATCCCAACAGTCACGTTTTGGTTTAAATCTATGAAGTTTGAGCCCAATCTAATGTAATTAATTAAACGAAAAACATGGTTTACTCCATAAATAATCAGTTTATACGTGATAATTACTTCAAAGAATGAAATAAAAATTATTTTAAAAAAATGTTCTACTTGCAGAGTTCCACGTGCTGGGATACCTACTGCTTTACTTGTCGTCCTGTATAAATCCAATAATCTACGTGATTATGAATAAGCAGTACCGGCAAGCGTATGCCGGGGTTATAAGCTGCTCGAAGATCCGCGCCAGTTTCACGTCCCACGGGAGCAGCGCGCCCGGTCAGAACCACAAAAACAATGTCGGACATCACCAAGGTAACTACGACCCGCAGCAGCCCGTGACAGTCACCAAACTCTGATGAGCGCACACACTATGACAATCGGCGTTTTAAATCTCTCGCTCTGTTTCTCCTCTCGACCCGCGCGCACTACCACTGACACGGAGAAGCTTTCTTCCTTTCGTAAGTGAAGGGTTACTACATACTAGAATCTCCTCTGTCTTTCTGTCAGCTCTTTTTTCTTATCCTTTTTTTTAAACATTTGCGTCTAAAGTGGCGCCTCTGGAATAAGTTGCGAAACCCATTTTCGCATGGATACGAAATTATTGACCCCAACCATAAGGACCATTGAGAATCAGATAAATACGTTTACCAATTGTTGTTTTTTACTCTCGTAGTTTTCATTTTTCCCTATTTCTCGTCATTTGATGTACACGCATTGACACCTGAGGGAAAAGAATTATTTTGACACTAGGATCAATTACTATCCCTAAATCGGGTACAAAATTAATATTTTACTATTCTCATGAACTCGTGTGTGGGCTATTTTACACTATTGTTATACATGTATACGTCTCTTCTCATCCTCGACACAATTTTCAACTTGGGAAATAAAAAGTTATTTACATAGTCAGACTTGACCTTCTCAATGTCGAAATGAATTTTATTTTCCAATTATATGAAATCGCTGTGATTAACACAAAGTGGTACACATCTCTGCGAACGCATGTGTTTAAATTATTGCAATCATCTGATGGGGTTTCAAATTGGTGTACGCGCAAATGAACGTACAGAGTTTTTTTTTTTTTTTTTGCTTGTCGATAATCGTGCAAATCTTTGTTCATAAAATGTGTTACTTGCAGTGTCGGTCGAGGGTGAGGGAAGTGAATTGACAGCTATAAGAATATAGTGACGTTGCTCTTTCTTTTTCTCTTTCTGTCCCTTTTAGATTTCTCTTTCTTACAAATTTTTTTTCAGGATTGGCCGAACCAAGCTAAACACACACACACACACATGTTCTTCGTACTAACGCAGTTACCGAGAGGCGAGTAGCATGTTTTAAACAAGGTGGTGTTTGGTTCTAGGCTTCGAATAATCATTTAACATGTGCCCATGACTTTAAAAAAAAAAATTTTTTTTTAACCATTTTATGCGCTTACTCAATTTTACCTCACATCATTGGATAATTACTCAACTATTGGACAGTAAATGGTGGCCCACTCACTTACACTTCCCATTGTATCATTAATACATCTTACATTTTCATGTAAAACGTATGCGTTTCATCAGAGATACGCTAATACACGCCTAAGTAGTTTTTAAATTCATGTTTGTTTTAGCATGGAAAAAGTATCATTCAATAGCACACGTAGCACTAATAATTTGTATATTAACATGTTTTCGCAAGTAATAGCTTCATGAATAATTTATAGACTCACAAGTTTGTTGAATCGTAATGTATGCGAGTCAAGTAGAGCAGGGGTTTTGATTCCGAGCTAAACATGTACATTTACATTGTGTAATTTCCATTGCAATGTAAAATTAGACAAATTAAAAGTAATTTAAACATATACATTAATCTGAAAATTTTTTGTTTTACTCAAACGAGGGCTTACTTTTTGTCGCTTTACCATACATTCAGTGCCATTGTAATTGTTTTTCTTGTCTATTAATAATAATAATAATATTGTCAATATGTTTTAAGTATGTTGAGGTTTATCAAATAAATGTTATGAAAATACTTTTCACTACAGATTATTCGAAAGACTACAGTAAGACAATGGTGTCCACTGTATCTATTGCCATGAACTCCGTTAAAGATGCTGATCACGATGATTACATTTAAGAAGAAGGAACAGACAAAAAAGAGATGGAGGAAAAATTCGAAGAACAAAACGTGTATAGACTGAGCGTCGAAGATGAGAAAAATCATGTTTTTAACATTTTTATGCTATTAATTGACTCAATTTAGGGCTTTCAAGAGGAAAAGTGATTCACGAACAAAAACGAATGTAGCATACATTCCATTTTATTTTAAAATTAATTAATTGTTTTTATTCACGCCTAGGCGTCATGTATAAACTCATATAAATATATACATCGACCAAAGAGTTGAGAAAGATGTACGTGTAAATAAGTATAAAATGTATAAAAAAAAAAAAAAAAACGAAAGACGCACGCGTATGTATTTGACAGCTATAATATTTATTTCATCGTCACTTGTGTATGTGTTTTGTGAAAAATGTTTTGCAAAACGTATGTTATGGCATGCCGTCTCATATTACTAGACAATAATTATTGATAAACACCATACCGAAAAAAACATGGTTAACATTTTTAAAAATGAATAAAGATCATTTTTACAGTACTCATTTCCTTATCATTCAGGAATACACCAAAAAAACTAATTCATGTTGAACTCGGAAAAAAAGTCAGTGTTCGCTGTTCACCCATTGAAAAACTCATAAGGATTTACAACAACTTTTCTTCTCCGGCGCAGTGTTGTTGTCTCGAAGTCTGATGGATTCCCGTAGCGGCTCTTCGCTGACGGAATTAAGAATTACGTTAACCAAGTAGTTCATTGCTTTATCTGTAATTGACACAAGTTGTCAGGTGTAAGTTTTATATCGGTCGAAAAAATTGTCAAATCGTTGAGTACCAATATTTGAGTTTTCCTTGGCGGAGGTGATGAACCACGAGCCAATATCGTTCTCCTTGCAGAACTTGACGATCTGGTCGTTGGTGACGGCTGCCTGGTTGATGTCGCATTTGTTGGCCAGCAAAACGACAGGGAGATCCCCGGTTTTCTCGCGGAGATCGGCAAGCCACTTTTTGACGGATCGGAAAGTCGCCACTCGTGATATGTCGAAGACCAAAGCGGCAGCCACGCTATGAGAAAAACGAATTGTTTGTCAGATCTCTCGAAGGAACGGAGGTCAGATTCTCATTTGCTTGTGTACACTCACGCGTACTTGTAGTACACCCGCGTCATGTAGCCGAATCGCTCGTGCCCGGCAATGTCCCTGCGAATTTCAATTACTTAATGTCTCGTAAATTTTTAATCGTTTTACTTTGCTCCAGACAAATTAAAAATTACATCTTTTCAAGTAGAGGTTTTTAGAACATTTTTTTTCAATGAAAAGCAGATGGACCGTCTCATTAAAATGCTTCTCTCAAAAATTAGTTCAGATCGCAAAAATTACTTCAAGTGTAGCATATATATATTTATATATACATATAGAACACATAAGCGCGTGCGTGTGCGTTTGGGGCTTTTATTGATTAATTATCTTATTAGACGCGCAGGGGTCCCCCGGCCGAGCGAGCGCGAGCTTTCTTTTCACCAGGGGATGTTACAAAGTGCTTTGCATTAGCGTAGTGTGTACATTATACTCGAGTCGAGTAGAGTCGTCACCTTGAACTCCTCTTCCTCGAGAGAGATGAGACAATTTACACGCGTCGTGGGTAAGTATATATGTCCACATATTATACACCAGTTATGTATATATATGCTTGGACTTTATGTCTTGCGTTGCATGTCACACATAATAAGTATATATTTACAGCGTTGATTTGACGCTAAATTTTTTGAAGCGACCACGTATATTATTTACGCGCTCATTGGGCATTTCCTTCGCTATATGGCTAACTGGCCTTCTTAGAATCGCTGTCTCGGATCTCGGTGCCTATGTCATGCAAGTGGTTAATTTTAACGTTAGAAAAATGCAAACAAATGGACTGCAGTCGAAGATGAGAAGAACAATTATGCAAACCGATGAGTCAAACGGTAGCGAGTACACCTGCGCGTAGTGTAATATTATAGCGAATCGCATAATTTTGCGCTGATGCTCACTTAACTCTGTACGTGTTTGATTACAATAGAAAAAAAGATATTTACACACGATATGTGTGCCTTTCCAAATGCATCATATATTATACGCATCTTTGTGTATTATTTTTATGAACTAAGAGTAAAGTGTATTTTTGAGACTCATCCACGCACCTATAATTACAGAGTAGCTCCATTTTTAGGCCGCGTAGATTTGAAGTTTATTTAACTTTTACACCTCCAAGTTGATAGTTTTAGAGTATAAAAATTCGGAAACGTAAACCCATGAGTTGTACAGTTAAATTAATTTTAAAAAGTTTGTCACCTTCGAGGACTTGTTTTTCCTTATTCTCGTATTGTAATTTCTTAAGTGGACATGTTACAAAGACACACAAACAAAATTAATTATTTGCCTTTTTTTTCCTTGCATTTGATCATTTCATTAATTGTAACGTATTTGTTTATTTATTTATTTTTTTTTTTACAGCTTAGCTTTTGCAGGACCGTCAGGTGGGCGGCATCAAACGTCAGATGGAGATGAACGATGGACTGATCAGTGACGAAGAATCGAGGTTCGTTGTATTAAAAATGTTTCGTTGAAATAACTTGGATGTAACATAAAATATAAAAGTACAGTTATAATATTTTTCCAAACGCGTCCATAAATCGTGTCAATAGAAAAATATACATACATTTGGCCATTAACATGAAAAGTAGATACATATATATAATTTTGTCGCAACGAATTCGTTCAATGTGTCAACGAGCTCTTTGAAAACCCCTCCACAATAATATAAGCTCGTACGGGCAAGGGTACAACCAAGTGCACTTACTCCACGTACGAATAAGCTTTGAAGTTCATGTGCGTCAGCGCATACGTTTAAAGAGATGACATACGATTATACAAGGCATATACGTTGTATACATATATATATATATATATATATATATATACACGTGAA